GTGAGCATACTGGAGCTAGGTTGCATATGATATAAGAAAGCTTCCTCTTTCCTTATTTGTCTTAAACCTTTCAAGATTGGGTCACTTCCACCTCACTGATACTGCTTGTTGTTTTTTTTTTCTCTGATAAACTATTTGTTTCAGTTGCATGATACAATTGAAAGAGTTCAGCAAACAAAAGAAAAGCAGAAAAGAATGGGGTACTCAAAGTTAGCCAGTTTGCTATATACAAGTTGCACCATTAGATGTTATCTGTACAATGGAGCATTGGAATTTGAAAGGGTTATATATTATATGTTATCTTCCTAACTTTTGTTCAAGCCACTTCTCATGTACTCATTCAGTAATTGTTTCTTTTTTTCTGTAATTTGTTTTTATAGCCTTGTTTACAAAAATATGAATTAAAAGTTCCAGTAGTTGTAGTTTTGAAAATAAAGTCATAAAGTTGCATCAGTTTGGTATAAAAAGTCATGTTTTTTACTTTCACGATTTTATACTTAACCTTTTTGATTGTGATATATTTTTTGTCTTACTCCTCTTTGATTTGGCTTTACATGAAGATAAGGAAGATATATAGCTGTTAATAACTGTAAGCAATGAATCTTGATAAGTATTTAAACAGTGGCCAGGTACAGTGGGCGGATTGGTTACACTGTTTACAGAGTCCTACCATAGAGAACCTTTGACCCAGAAAAGTCAATAGTGTCTACAATAACTTCCTGAGTGAGTGAGTGAGTGAGTGAGTGAGTGAGTGAGTGAGTGAGTGAGTGAGTGTGTGTGTGTGTGTGTGTGTGTGTGTGTGTGTGTGTGTGTGTGTGTGTGTGTGTGTGTGTGTGTGTGTGTGTGTGTGTGTGTGTGTGTGTGTGTGTGAGTGTGTGTGAGTGTGTGTGTGTGTGTGCGTGTACACACATGCACGTGAAAATGCATAATTTGAATTAAATTCCAAATAGTATTTCAAAAATGAAAAGACAGGCATATTGATTTGGGATTTTCTTTTATTATTATTGTTATTATTTTTGTTGTAGTTGCTATTATTATTATTATTATTATTATTATTATTATTATTATTATTATTATTATTAATTCTTTTTTATTATTATTATTATTATCATTATCATTATTATTATTATTATTATTATTATTATTATTATTATTATTATTATTACTATTATTATTATTATTATTATTATTATTATTATTATTATTATTATTATTATTATTATTATTATTATTATTATTATTATTATTATTATTATTTAGAGAGACTTCACTGTTACACATAGATATGTGACTGTTTATCAGATTTTATCAGATATACTTTCTTGGAAATTCTGAGGACTTTGTTGATAATGTATAGTCTAGTTGTTTCTTGGTTTAGTTCACTCTTAATGTCTCTCTATATAAAGTATCTTTAGCATTCCCAAGTTCCACTTGTTAACTACTAGGATGTGAAGGTCTTCTGTAATTTCCTCCTGTTGTTTGAGTCTCTGTCACATTATTTCAAGGATAAGGTTGCTCAGTTTTTTCTAAATTTGCATCCTCTTCAGCACCTGTCACACAAGCCTATGACTGGTTCTCTTTAATATTATGCCTTCATCTCTGTTTTGCCATTCAGTTTGACACATGTGGCTAATATTTTTTTCTCTTCATTTGTGATCTGGGAAAAAGGAGGATTGTACTATACTTTTATTGTTGTTTTTTTTCTCTCGTGTTACTGTATGGGAGCACTAGGCTTTTGCAGGCGGGTGTTGGTATGAAAGGCCAGATGGAGAGGGAGAATGAGAATGAGAATGAGAATGAGAATGAGAATGAGAGGGAGAGGGAGAGGGAGAGGGAGAGGGAGAGGGAGGGAGAGGGAGAGGGAGAGGGAGAGGGAGAGGGAGAGGAAGAGGAAGAGGAAGAGGAAGAGGAAGAGGAAGAGGAAGAGGAAGAGGAAGAGGAAGAGGAAGAGGAAAGGAAGAGGAAGAGGAAGAGGAAGAGGAAGAGAAGAGAAGAGAAGAGGAGAGGAGAGGAGAGGAGAGGAGAGGAGAGGAGAGGAGAGGGAGAGGGAGAGGGAGAGGGAGAGGGAGAGGGAGAGGGAGATGGAGAGAAAGGATGAAAGAGAAAGTGGGAGAAGAGAGAGAGAGAGAGAGAGAGAAAATAGGAGAGAGAGATAATATGTTTAAGTATTCAGTCATAACAATTTTTTTGTAAATTACAACTAAGAAAAAAATGTGTTAAAGGGACATTAGAAAAAAAGATATGTGAAAGGGATTGATGGCAAGAGATGAAAAATCAACAGTAATGCAAATTAAAAACAGAAATGCATGTTCATCTCTGAAGGTGATATGTGGCTTCTTTAAGTTTGCTGTGTCTTCTTACATTACTTCTGTCTTCTTTTAATCATTAGCAGCTGTTCGTACAGTACCACTGTTTGTTCAGTGTATGACATAAAAATGTAATAATTTATGTGCAAGATTAAAGTCTACAGTTCATCTTAATAGTGATTTGTAGTTATAAGATTTTTTTTTTTTAGTCTCCTTTTGAAAGAGTATCATTATTTGATTTAAATGAAAGAACAGTTGTGTCTTTTGTTATTTGCTCTAGCTTGTGCTGTAATCCATAGTTGTCTAGATGCTTGATCTTTGCTTTTGAGTTATTGCTTCTTTTTATAAAGACAAACTTGCCTTAAACTTTTAACTTGCTTTATACTTTGTTTTCAGTGAGATGTCCAGCTCAACTGTGTTTGATTGTATTATTTACATGTTGTGATTTTTATTTACATATTTTGAATTTTTGTGTTATCAGCTGAAGGCAGTACACCAAATGGTAAGATCTCTTTTGAATAATTGATGCATGTAAATTGTAATTGAGACTCAGAGAAGTATAAGCAAAAGTCAGTTAGAGTATATTTTTGGTTTATTAGCACACAAACATCCCTCATCACTTTTATTACAGTCTATTGTAGGCTTATTTTATTTTTTACTCAAATTCAGTTGGGTAATGCAATTATACACTCCACTTCCTTTTCAGTACAGTCTACTATTTTATGTAAAGTTTCCCTCCTGATTTATATGCAGTATTTCTGTGTTCATGTCTTGTCACAGAAGTGCATGTCCTGCATAATAAACCTATCATTGAAAAGTGCCCTTTAGAAATGTATAAAATTTGGCATTAAGCCAAGACCATTAGAAACTATGATAGGTTTCTTTCATTGTATTATTGTAAGGTGTGTCACATTGTTATTCTTAGGAATGATGAATACTGGGTAAAAGAATGTTTTCATGACATTTAATAAAAGCAGGAAAGAGCAAGGAATGGACAGTCATGAGCTCTATTGGTATATATAATGTTCTTATTCCATTTAGAAGAGAAAATGTGATGTGTTTGACCACACATATAAGTTCACCAATACATTATATACTGACCTGGAATATATAATTTACTGCTCTAATAAATCCTTTTAGGTAATCCCATGTTCATCGCCAACTTTATATAACATGGGTCTTCTTGTAGCTTTCTGTATTAGGATTAATTAACACACGCATATGTGTGCACGCAGTCTCATTTTTTAGTATACCTTATGACATCCATAGATAATGATGTTTTTGGTTTCAGTTAGTTATGACAAGGGGAGACAGCATTCAGCTGATGAACATGGATTGGATTTAGTAGTATAATTTGCGCGGACTGCATTTACACATCTTGTAACTATGAATGAAAGGAAAAAGTTCATTTAAAATTATATGATCCTTGCAGAATATATTTGTATTATGTGGAAAAATGATGTCTTTATATCCAAGCATCTCCAAGTGCTTGCCGATGGACATTTCTAGTTGCTATTTGAAACAAGTGTTTGAGTGTTTATTCATTAATATGATATGAAGGGCTTGAAAGTAATCAAAGCATATATAGAAAGACAAATAAACTAAATTCTTGAGTGGCTGGATTAATGCTTTTTACATCTTTTTACATTCTGTAACCAAGCATTATGATAGACATCAAAGTTTATATACAGAGTGAATGCAATACCATGAGGTGCATAGTATTGGTATTTTACTCATTCTTGGTTAATCTGGTAGGGCTGTGTATGTATGACTGAATAACTATCTGTCTATCTATCTATCTATCTATCTGTTATCTATCTATCCATCTATCACTCCATATGTTAATCTATCTATATCTATCCATCTGTATAAATATAACATATATATTTAAATATATATATATATATATATATATATATATATATATATATATATATATATATATATATATATATATATAATATATGTGTATATATAATGTATATATGTATAAAATGTATAAATGTATATACACACAAACATATATATATATATATATATATATATATATATATATATATGTATATATATATATATATATATATATATATATATATATATATATATATATACATATATATATACATATATACATATATACATATATATACATGTATACATATATATACATATATATACATATATACATATATACATTTATATACATGTATACATATATTTACATATATATTCATTATATATACATATATGTACATATATATACATATACATACATATATATACATATATATACATATATATACATACATACACATATATACATATACATATATATATACATATATATATATATATATATATATATATATATATATATATACATATATATACACATATATACATATACATATATATATATATATATACATATATATACACATATACACATATATACACATATATATACACATATATATATACATATATATACACATATATATATATACATATATATACACATATATATATACATATATACATATATATATATACATATATATACATATATATATATATATATACATATATATACATATATATATACATATATATATATATATATATATATATATATATATATATATATATATATATACATATATACACATACACACATATATACACACATGCATA